AGGAGTCAACAAATGAGCCAGGGGGCATCAGTAATTGCCGGTAATATAATCGTGCTCGCGTTGTCGTGGAGGACCGTACAGAGTGTCAGAAGCACAGTGCCAGGAGGCACAGCAAAGGGTAGTAGAGGTGACATTTGAGCCCGGCCTTGAAAACTGTCTAGGATTTCTTAGAATTTCAGCAAAGTAAGGTAATTTCTGTCTAAAATATACAGGCAAACTTTTTATTAAAAATATGAGAAATTAATTAACAGATTATGACTACGATGCAGATTTAAAACCCAAGGCATAATGAGTGCCGTTGACCAGTTCATCCAAACAGTTCAGAGAAGAGAACATCCATATAGATCCTTCTTGTGTTGCAGAATACAAAGGAGCAGAAAATTTTGCCTCAGTAACTGCCAGGTCATTCTACTTAAAGTACCTGTACATTGTAATATAATTCCTCCATTAAGGTAATAACCGATCAGGTGGTCCAGAGTCTGTGTCATTCAGTCAAGAAAGTCACTCCCTTAACCTAGACTGTGCTGGAAATTCATTGACAAATTTTGTTCTTTGCTTCTCCATTTGTCTTCAGAATTCATGCAGACCACTTGACTTCGTTAGCATTTTCTTTTGTAGGCATATAGTAATGTATTTGGTTAAGCTTCGGCTTCCATTTGCATCAATCCTGTTGTAATTATTGCCTCCTGAGGCATCGTTTTGCTTCCCTTGCATGAGTTTCCAAAACCCTACTTTCTACTTTGTAAGGAGAGTATCCATTTTCTTTAAAGCAGTGGTTTTCAAACTTGCCTGCACATCAGAATTATTTGGGGAGAAGGATAAAAATACAGATTACTGAGCTTCACCTGGGATTCTGTAAATTTGGGTTGCATTTGAGATTACTTTGAACAATTTACCGATGATTTTTGCTTCTCCTCCACTTCAGTTTTAGGAAGGACTGTTTCAAGGCAGCTTTTCAAACTTTAATGACCATATAAATCACCTGAAGATTGTGAGAAACTGCAGATCCTAATTTAGCAGCCCTGGGTTCAGGCCTGAGATTCTGAAGTTCTCTCAAACGTGATAATATCAATCCCTTGTTGAGCAGAAAGGTTGTTGTTGTTTTTTTTTTTTTTCCCAATATCTTCATGGCATTCAATGAGTAGCAGAGTTTGAAGGTAACTTCTGGAATTTCATCGAATGTGTATGAATTTTTACTCATCTGGATCTTAGGGGAAATAACCCAACCAGTTATAGGGAGGGAGGACCTTTAATAACGAAGCCAAATGTGTAGGTTGTCTCCCTCTCCCTAGTGTGCAGAGGTATCCCTTGCACACACTCAAAACTTCTTAGACCAAAAGCATTATAGCTCTAGTTTGCCTTAAAGGAAGTTGTATTGTCTATAGAGCATGTGGGTCATTTTCTGCCAAAAAAAATATTCAAATGTTTTCACTCTGAAGCTTTGTTCATTGTATCTGGTGGAATTCCGGTTCTCAGTGAGTAGACACCTAGCTGTGCTTCTAATGTGAAGTGTCTACTAGCCCCGTGGTCTCTATTTTGGATTTGAACTTACTTCGACCCCACACCTGATGCCTTTCCATTTAGTCATATTGTGATTCAACATTTTTGTTTCCACATTTTTTATTTCCTATGTTATTATTCCTTAGTTCCCATCTGTAAGATCATAAAGTCCTTTGACCCAAACACAGTTGATATTTCATACATATGTTAAAAACTGAGCTGTGAGACCAGACATGGTGACTCACACCTGAAATCTCAGCACTTTGGGAGACCAAGACAGAAGGATCAGTTCAAGCCAGGAGTTTGAGATCAGCCTGGGCAACAAAGTGGGACCATGTCTCTAAAAAAGAGAATTAGCTGGGCACAGGGGAGTAGTCCCTGTTACTCTGGGGGCTGAGGCAGGAAGATCACTTGAGCCCGGGAATTCCAGGCTGCACTGAGCTCCGATAGTGTCACTGCATTCCAGCCTGGGTGCCGAGTGAGACCCTGTCTCCAAAAAAAAAAAAAAGAGAAAAAGAAAAAATCCAAGGGTATAATGAGGGAACTACCAGGAAAATGCTCTTATTTTCTGCTTTTAGAAACCAAAATAATGTTTCATTGTGGGCTGCTACCATTATATGCAGGAAGTTTTAGAATGAAAAACATTCTGAACTGATCCTTGCTAACTTTATTTCAGAAAGTGGTAAAATAGCTGTGGAGTATAGACCCAGTGAAGAGATTGTAGATGTCAGATGGGAAGAAGAACTACACAGTTTAATTGAAGTATGTGGAGATAAAAACTCAAAGGTAACAGGGCCGGGCGCAGTGGCTCAAATGTAATGCCAGTGCTTTGGGAGGCCAAGGCGGGCGGATCACCTGAGGTTGGGAGCTCAAGACCAGCCTGACCAACATGGGGAAACGGTGGTGCATGCATCCCGCTACTTGGGAGGCTGAGGCAGGAGAATCGGTTGAACCTGGGAGGTGGAGGTTGTGGTGAGCCAAGATCGCTCCATTGCACTCCAGCCTGGGAAAAAAGAGCGAAACTCCCATCTCAGAAAAACAAAAAAAACCTCAAGGGTCAGATAACATATGCAATATAACCATAATTCAAAATAAGCAGCAGAATTTGGAGGATAATTTGCTTCGTTCTCAGGAAAATGTGAAACTCCGAAACTGCTTTTTGAGTGCAGGGTATTTCTGGGGCTTTTCCTAAAGTCTTGACCCTTGGCTCTGACCCCTTATTTGGAGTTTGGAGACAGGACTGAGGACTGTATTACTACAGCTGTGGACACAGGAGAGGGGTTAGTCTCCCCCGGCCCCAGGAGTAAGGGATGCTGGGCTGCTTGAACACAGGCCTTTTTAGAACTCCCTTCAAACAGGATCCCAGAGATGTGGGGAGAATGTAAGTGGCCTTAAGACTGATTGTGCTACAGCTTTCGAAAACTATAATGCCTTTCAAATATGGCTTATTACTTGGATCTCAATATCTTCCATCTACCTTGAGTGGACTATTTTGCTGAAGATCTTTCTGTCAATCATTTACAATCATGTGCTGCAAAATGAAGTTTTGGTCAATAGTAGACCACATATATGATGGTGGTTCCATAGGAGTATAATGGAGCTATCCCTATACAGGCATACCATTTTTATCTTTTTTTTGTTGTTGTTGTTGTTGTTATTGAGATGGAGTCTCACTCTGTTGCCCAGGCTGGAGTGCGATGGTGTGATCTCAGCTCACTGTAACTTCTACCTCCTGGGTTCAAGTGATTCTCCTACCTCAGCCTCCCGAGTAGCGGGATGCATTATAGGCATGCGCCACCATACTCAGCTAATTTTTATATTTTTAGTAGAGACTGGTTTTTGCCATGTTGGCCAGGCTGGTCTCGAACTCCTGACCTCAGGTGATCCACCCACCTCCGCATCCCAAAGTGCTGGGATTACAGGCATGAGCCACTGTGCCTGGGCCCCATTTTTATCTTTTATACAGTATTTTAACTATACCTTTTCCATGTTTACATACACAAATACCTGCCATTCTGTGACAGTTGCCTTTAATATTCAGTACAGTAACATATAGTACAGGTTTGTAGCCTAGGAGTCATAGACCATACCATATAGCCTAGGTGTGCTGTAGGCTATACCACCTAGGTTTGTGTAAGTATACGCTATGATGTTAGCACAATGGTGAAATCACCTAATGACACACTTCTCAAGCTCCTCACATGGCAAGCAACGCATGACTGCATATGAAAGCTCTTAAATAGGGATTAAGTGTCTAAATTAATCTCAAAAGAAAATAGTCATTATTTACTATTTATGGAATTTTTTTTAAAAAAGGAGCAAAAGTTTCATTTCAGTGGGAACTTATTTTGGAGCTAGAGTATTTTGTTTAACTTTCACCCCAAAGTTGCAATGTGTTTTGAAGTTCTTCCCTGTAAAATAATTATTTTAACTCAATTTAAATAAAACCCATCCAGTAAACTTCAAGCTTTAAGAAGTCTAGGTTCCTGTGAAATGTGAGAGGAAGTCAGCACTGATTTCAGAAATCTGATTATAACAATAGATCCATTCCTAAATGAGGTGAATCTTGGAATCCCTTCAGTTTTATTTTATTTTATTTTATTGAGACGGAGTTTCTCTCTTATTGCCCAGGCTGAAGTGCAATGTTGCAATCTAGGCTCACTGCAACCTCTGCCTCCCAGGTTCAAGTGATTCTCCTGCTTCAGCCTCCCTAGTAGCTGGGATTACAGGCATGCACCACCACGCCTGGCTATTTAAGTAGAGACGGGATTTCAGCATGTTGATCAGGCTGGTCTGGAACTTCTGACCTCAGTGATCTGCCCACCTCGGCCTCCCAAAGTTCTGGCATTATGGGTGTGAGCCACTGTGCACAGCCCCCCCTTCAATTTTAAAACCATCATTATGCACCCTGTGCCTCTGCTAGGCACTGGAATAAGATGAAGCACCTTCTTGGAGTTTACATGCTGATAATTGTGCCAGACAGTAATAGGTAAGAATGGCTGTGGGGGAAGTCAGCTGTGTTCTAATTACAGTCGCATTTCAGGAAATTATTTAACATGTTGACTTCAACAGCCTAAGCCTCTTCTCCATGTGTGCACACAGGGTAGATCTCTGAAGGGTGGCGCTGTAACTTCTAGGGTAATGGCTGTGTTGAGTCAAGGCAGGGTGACAGTTCAGCCTCCTCCCTGCTAGTGCAAAGGGCTCTTCACTCGGATTAAAGCCTTCTCTCCCAGACTGAATTGCCCACCCCCAACACCCCTCCTACAGAAAATGTGGAGTCCTCGCTTGTTCCCTGGCAGCCCCTACCTAGTAGGGTGGTGAATTCATTATCAAACATGCAACAGTTTAGCGAAAACGGCAACATTTTGGAATAAATGACTGTAATGTGCGTCTTGCCTGCCACCCGAACTGGCGCCCATTTTGCAGCTCAGTTGCTCTCCCTGAAAGGAAGAGTATGCTTGGATTTCACCTTGAAGGAGGAAGAGATCAGGCTGCCACAACTGGACTAGCACTTATGAAGATCCCAAGGCGAGGTCCCGTGACACCACCCCACCACACCACAGCAGGCTGCTGGAGTCCTGGGACCACCTGGGTCTGTGGCCCAAATCCTTCCTCCCTAAGGGGAGGGAAAGGGGTGTTCCAGCCGGGCGGGGTGGGAAGGGGTGTTTGGGCGGGATTGTGACATAAGATTGCCCTGGTGACATGGAGCAGATCTGGACCCAAGCCTAATAAAGGTGGCATAAATAAAGGTGTCATAAAGACAGGGCGGGGCGCATGCTTATAAGGGGCACGAGCATCTTAGGGTTGCCAGAATGACTCCCGCTCAGTGCGCAGCACTTGCGTGTGTCATGTCCCAGCTGCGTTTCTGGGGCCCATGGCCCCTCTTCACGTGGCAACTATTGTGTCTACTAGTCAAGGAGGCTCAGCCTCTGGAGTGGGTCAAGGACCCACTCCAGCTGACCTCTAACCCCCTGGGGCCGCCTGAGCCCTGGTCTTCCCGCTCCTCCCATCTCCCATGGGAATCTCCCCATGCGCCCACTCCCCCGGCAGACCTGGGGGACTTTGATTACCTGGGGCCCTCTGCTTCCTCGCAGATGTCAGCCCCGCCCCAGGAATCGACTGAAAATTTGGTTCCATTCCTGGACACGGATTCAGCTGAAGAGCTGCCCCTGGGGCCAGAGCAGTTCTCCGCTGCACACCAGGATTTAAATGACAAGCTGACTCCGCAAGAAAGGCTCCCAGAGGTGGTCCCACTGCTGGACGGGGATCAGAACCAGACCCTAGTTCAGCTTCCTCGTCTCAAAAGTAAGGTTCCAACTGCAGATCTAGATCGGGCTGCAGGTCATCAGGCAGATGAAATACTTGTTCCGCTAGACAGTAAGATTTCAAAACCAACCACATTTATTGTTTCGCCCAAGAACCTGAAGAAAGATCTAGCCGAGCGTTGGAGCCTTGCTGAGATTGTTGGAATTCCACACCGATTATCCAAACCTCAGCGTGAGAAACAGACTTTGCAGGATGAATATTCGAGTATGGACACACTGTATCCCGGCAGCCTGCCTCCAGAACTCCAGGTGAACTCAGATGAGCCTCCAGGGCCCCCTGAGCGAGTTGGACTTTCTCAATTCCATCTAGAGCCGGAAACTCAAAATCCAGAGACCCTTGAACACACCCAATCCTCTTTACTCCAGCAAGAAGCCCCAGGGCAGTTTCCACAGCTTCCTGAGGAGGAAGAACCTTCTTCCACCCAGCAGGAGGCCCCAGCTCTGCCTCCAGCATCCTCTATGGAGAGTCTAACTCTACCGAATCGTGAGGTGACAGTTCAGCCTCCAGGTGAGGATCAAGCTCATTATAACTTGCCTAGCATTACAGTTAAACCTGCAGATGTGGAGGTTCCTGTGACTCCAGAGGCTGAAAACGAGACAGAATCTTCCGAAGTCCAGCAGGAGTCCCCAGGTCAGCCTCCAGAGGAGGTGGAACCTTCTGCAACCCAACAGGAGCCCCCAACTGAGCCTCCAGGTCCTCCTATGGAGCTTGAACTTTCCCCCAGTGAGCAGGAGCAGCCAGCTCAGCCTTCGGAGTCTTCTGGGGAGGTTGAATATTCTCCAGCCCAGCAGGAGGCCCCAGCTCAGCCCTCAGAACATCATGAAGTCACAGTTTCACCTCCTGGTCACCATCAAACTCAGCATTCAGATTTTCCCAATGTCTCTGTTAAGCCTCCAGATGTGCAGCTCACCATAGCAACAGAGCCTAGTGCAGAGGTGGGAACTTCTCCAGTTCTCCAGGAGGCTACAGCTCAGCTCTCAGGGCCAGGTAATGATGCAGAACCTCCCGCCATCCAGCACGGGGGCCCACCTCTGCCTCCAGAGTTATCGAAAGAGGCTGGACCTTCAGCAATTCAACAGACTTCAGTTCAATCTCCGGAACCTGTTAATAATGAGAACCCCTCTCCAACCCAGCAGGAGGCTGCAGCTGAGCATCCACAGACCGCTGAGGAGGGTGAGTCTTCTCTAACCCAGCAGGAGGCCCCAGCTCAGACTCCAGAGCTCCCTAATGTAGTTGTAGCTCAACTTCCAGAGCATCATGAGGTAACAGTTTCCCCTCTAAGTCATGATCAAGTTCAGCTTCCAACATTGCACCATGTCACTGTTAATCCTGTCGATCACGTGGTTACCATGACTCCAGATTTCATTAATCAGGTTGCAATGTTAACCCAACAGGGGGCCCCAGCTCAACCCGTAATGTCCCCTGAGCAGTTTCAACATTTGAAAGACCAGCAAGACATTATAACTCAGCAGCTAAACAGACCTGAAAATTATGAACTTCCTCTAGTCCATAAAGTGCCCACAACTCAGCTTCCAACTCAGCTCTCCTCAAACTTTGAAAGTTCACTGAATGATGAAGCAATAGGTTCACCTCTATATATGTCACATCTAGATGTAGATATGGGGCTTACCAGACCTACAGTAGTCACTATGCGGGTACAACCTTCTCCAGTCCAGCAGGACGATCCTTCTGTTCCCACTGAGCAGGCTGACTTTTCTCTAGCCCAGCCTGATCTCCCTTCCCCACTTCTGCATTCTCCTGAAAAGACTGAATCTCCAGTCCAGCAAGAGGCCACAGCTCAGATTCCAGATTCCTCTAAGGAGGCAGAACCTTCTCCAGTCCAGCAAGAGTTCCCAGCTGAGCCACCAAAGCCCCCTAAGGAGGTTGACCCATCTGCAACCCAGCAGGAAGCCTCAGGTCCTCCTCTGAAGTCCACTGAAGAGATCAGTCCTCCACTGCAGCAGGAGATACCAGTTCAGCCATCAGAGCCACCTGAGATGGTCGAGCTATCTCCAGTCCTACAGCAGGCCCCAACTCAACTTTTAGAGCGACCTAAAGAGGTAGAATCCTCTCCAGTACAGCAGGCAGTCCCTGCTCAGTCTTCAGACCCCCCTATGGTGATAGAACCCTCTCTGACCCAGCAGATGGCCCCATCTTTATCTCCAGAGTTCCCTCAGGAGGTGGAACCATCTCTAACTCAGGAGGAGGTTCCAGCTCAGATTCCAGAGCCCCCTATGGAGGCAGAACCTTCTCTGACCCAGCAGGAGGCCACAGTTCAGGCTCCAGAGCCCCATCAGGAGGTAGAAACTTCAAGGCAGCAGATGATCCCAGTGCAGCTTTCAGAGCCACCTAAGGAGGTTGCAGCTCAACCTCCAGCTCATGATGAGGTGACAGGCCCAACACCAGGTCAGGATCAAGCTCAGCATTCAACATTGCCCAGTGTCACAGTTCAGTCTTTGGACCTGGGACTTACCATCGTTCCAGAACCCACTATGGAAGTTGAATATTCTACACCCCTGAAGAAGACTATAGTTCCTGCAAAGCACCTTAAGGTGACACTTCCACATCCAGACCAGGTTCAGACTCAGCATTCACACCTGACTCAAGCCACAGTTCAACCTTTGGACCTAGGGTTTACCATCACTCCAGAATCCACGACAGAGGTTGAACTTTCTCCAACCGTGCAGGAGACCCCAACTCAGCCTCCTAAGAAAGTTGTACCCCATCTTCTAGTATATCAAGAGGTAACAATTCCAACACCAGGTCAGGATGAAGCTCAGCATCCAATGTCATCCAGCGTCACAGTTCAACCTTTGGACCTGAGACTTACCATCACTCCAGAACCCACTACGGAGGTTGGACATTCTACAGCCCTGAAGAAGACTCTAGTTCCTCCAAAGCACCCTAAGGTGACACTTCCACATCCAGACCAGGTTCAGACTCAGCATTCACACCTGACTCAAGCCACAGTTCAACCTTTGGACCTGGGGCTTACCAGCACTCCAGAGCCCAGTACGGAGGTTGAACCTTCTACAGCCCTGACAACTACAGCTCCTCCTCCAGAACACCCTGAGGTGACACTTCCACCTTCAGACAAGGGTCAGGCTCAGCATTCACACCTGACTCAAGCCACAGTTCAATCTTTGGATCTGGGGTTTATCATCACTCTGGAACCCACTAAAGAGGTTGAACTTTCTACAGCCCTGACGACTACAGCTCCTCCTCCAGAACACCCTGAGGTGACACTTCCACCTTCAGACAAGGGTCAGGCTCAGCATTCACACCTGACTCAAGTCACAGTTCAACCTCTGGCCCTGGAGCTTACTATAACTACAGAACCTACTACAGAGGTTAAACCATCTCCAACCACAGAGGAGACCTCAACTCAGCCTCCAGACCCGGGGCTTGCTGTAACTCCAGAGCCCACTACAGGGACTGGACATTCTACAGCCCTGGAGACGACTACAGCTCCTCGTCCAGACCAGGTTCAGACTCTGCATCGAAAACTGACTGAAGTCAGAGATCCACATACTGAACTAGAACCTACTCAGGACTCACTGGTGCAGCCTGAAAGTCACGCCCAAAATAAGGCTTTAACTGCACCAGAGGAACAGAAGGCCTCCACAAGCACCAACATATGTGAGCTCTGTACCTGCGGAGATGAGACACTGTCATGTATTGATCTCAGCCCAAAGCAGAGGCTCCGCCAAGTGCCTGTGCCAGAGCCCAACACCTACAATGGCACCTTCACCATCTTGTAAGGATCACCTTTCCCCAATTGTCCTCTGTGTCCTGCCTGACGTGGCAGCCTTTTCCTGGAGGCCTTCCTGGGCTTTCTTTGTCTCCCCAAGCCATCCTGACAACTGACTTTCTGCTTTCACCTTTGCTTGTCAATTCTCCTTTCTCCTCATTCTCCTTCATTCTCCTTTAATGTTAGACCCATTCTCCTCTCTTTTACTTTTACTCCAGTCTTTTGCTCCTACTCGTTTTCTTATTCATTTTTATTTAGCCCCATCACATCATTGCTTAACCGCTGCTCTGCTCCCATTTTTGCTTCACCCTCTTTACAGCAACCTTTCCCCCTCCCGATCTCAGTGATGAGGCTCTAAGTGGTTAAGAGTTGATTCCGGAGCCAGGCTTCCTGGGGTTGAACCCAGGTCTATTTTTAGCTTGGTGACCCAGAGCAAGTTATTCCGCTCTGTGACTCAGTTTCCTCACATTTCAACTGTGAGTTATGCTAGTTCCCATTTCATAGGATTGTTGTGAAATTTAGGTGAGTGAATATATGAAACACTTCATCAGTGCCTAGCATATGTAGGAGTGTTGGCTGTTAACATGATTACTCAGTCCTTTAGTTATGTCCACAACTCATCGCTGTCCCTGGCTTTCTATATGTAGCGCTTGTTTTGTGTCAAACCCAGGGCCAAATATGCTACTGTCTCCAGAATATGAAAATGATAGGAGGGAAGAAAGATAATAGGCATAAAAAGGGAGGTTTATATAATTAATTACTAAAAGATAATGCATACTATCAGTGCTAGAATTTACCAGAATCTGTGATCCTTGAGGTGTGGAGATCAGGGAAAGCTACATGGATAAGCCAAAACTTTACTTGGGTCTTAAAGAGTAGCTATAATTTGTTAAATAGAAAAAAAATGGGAGTACAGTCTAGGCAAAGGCATTGCTACAGGTATGGTTGGAATTTAGTAGATCAATCTGGCTGCAAAGAATTAGGTGAGGGAGCAATGCAGATATGATTATGTAAAACCTTGACTATCAGCTATAGGAGTTTGAAAGTTACACAGTGAGGTATGGAAAGCCATTGAAAGTTTCCAAGCAAGAGAGATTAAATGATCAAAACAGGAGGATTATTTTATTTTATTTTGTTTTTTGCTTTATGTTCAAGTGTAGACATGCAAAGGATTATTTTAGAATCCATATGTAATGTGTCCAGAAGGAAAAGCTTAATTCAGGGAGACAGAATAGAAAAGTCTCGCAAAACGTAGGAGTAAAGTGTGAAGGGGCCAGATCAGGTCGGTTGTAATAAGAGTGGAAAGAAAAAGCCTAGGATGTTTCAACAGAGGGCAAAGCTTTGGTGCTACCTGGCATAGGGTTTCTTTCTACTTATTTATTGATAGTGATAAGCTTTTGCCCATTTTTTCTGTTGAATTATTTACCATTTTTGTGTTGATTTGTAGGAGTTTGTTTAGGCACATAAGTGCTTTTGGATAAAATACTTATATTCAAAGTAATTAACTGGCACTGTCTGTCCAAGAGATGTGATAGATAGGAAGTTAAGCTTCCAGGAGATGCCTTATCATTTGTGCCAGTGGCTCGGCATTGTTTCTTGATGAATTGTGCAAACTGGGAAGCTGATAGCTCTGGAAATGAGAAAGCAGGTGTTATTTTCTGTTTCTGAATATCCCCAACAAGGTTGCCATGATTCCTTTATTTATCCTCATCATTCTTTTCCTACCTATTCAAGGATATAAACTGTGTTTCTTCACAGAAATTTCCAAGGAAACTATATTTCGTACATTGATGGAAATGTATGGAAAGCATACAGTTGGACCGAGAAACTGTGAGTATATTCTCTCCAAATATGACAAAAAACTAACTGCATTGTAAGATCCTTCTCGGTCCAGAATTTTGAGGTCGGTACCTCTGAGAAAAGATATTTCCCCTCCATACCCCAAATCAACCTCTGTGGATTGCAATCCTTTGGTTATTTTAAAATTAAATTTGGTAGGCTCTCTAAAATAAGAGGCAATTTAAATTTATTTTTTATTATACAGATAGTACATGGTTATATTCTTTTTTTTCCTCTTTTTTTTTTTTTTCAGAGACAGGGTCTTCTTACTTTGTCCCCCAGGCTGGAGTGCAGTGGCACAATCACATCTCACTGCAGCCTTCACCTCCCAGGTGCAAGTGATCCTCCCACCTCAGCCTCCCCAGTAGCTGGGACCACAGGTGCACGCCACCACGCCCACCTAATTTTGTATTTTTTGTAGAGACAGGGTCTTCCTATGCTGCTTAGGCTAGTCTTGAGCTCCTGGGCTCAAGTGATCCTCCCACCTTGGCCTCCTTAAGTGCTTATATTATAGGCATGAGCCACCACCCCCAGCCCGTGATTCTATTTTTAATGTATAAAAATGCAATAACAGGTATAACAGAAACCCTCCTTGTGCCCTACTCCCTCATCCCTGAGGTAATGCTACTCTGTATTTAGTATACATGCTTCCAGACTTCTCCCCATTTGCCTACATTCATATTTACATAAAGCAAAATAGATTTGCATGTGGTTTTTAAAATCTTTTTTTTTACATAAATGGTAACATTTTGCAACTTGATTCTTTCACTTCATTATATCACTTACATGATATCATATGATAAGTGTATCACTTATATGATATGATATTCTTTCACTTCATGATTTCTTTCCTTCCCAGTACTCAGACAGTCACCCCATTCATTTAAACTCCTGCATAATCCATAGTCTGGATGCATCGTAGTTTATTTAATAATTCCCCCATTGATGAATGTTTAGATTATGCTTAGTTTTCTTGTTACATGCATTGCTGCAATGAAATCTCTGTACATGCTTCTTTGTGAACATGGGCAAGTATTCCTGTAGAATAGGTATCTAGAAATGGAATTTTTGGGGTGAAGACTATGTAGATACAAAATTTTAATTGCCCTCAAAAATGTTGTGCCAACTTATTGTCAGCAGAATATGACAGCATTCATTTCCCCCACACCTTTCACCGCTGGGTATTCTCCAACTTTTTGTTGAAGTTACGCATGAATAAAAGGGATTCCATCCAAATTTGAATTTTTCTGATTACTCATACATTTAATTAAATATTATATGTTTATTGAACATTTGTGTTTCTTCTCTGAGTTTTCTGTCCTTTGTTCATTTTCCTGTTGAATTGTTTTATCATTTTCTTACTGATTTATAGAAGGAATTGGTTTAGACACATAAATGATTTTGGAAAAAATGCTTACATTCGAAGTAACATTTTTCACAACAGTTTGTGTGTGACATCATTAGTTCAACGTATATAGACAAGTCATGTATGAGTTCTAAATTAAAAATAAAACACATGCTAGGTGCGGTGACTCACGCCTGTAATCCCAGCACCTTGGGAGGTCGAGGCAGGTGGATCGCCTAAGGTCAGTAGTTTGAGACCAGCCTGGCCAATGTGACGAAACACCGTCTCTACTAAAAATACAAAAATTACCGAGGCCTGGTGGTAGGTGCCTATAATCCCATCTACTTAGGAAGCTGAGGCAGAATTGCTTTATTTATTTTTTGAGACGGAATTTTGTTCTCGTCGCCTGGGCTGGAGTGCAATGGCGCAATCTTGGCTCACTGCATGTTCCACCTCCCGGGTTCAAGGGATTCTCCTGCCGCCGCCTCCTGGGTGGCTGGAATTACAGGTGCCCGCCTCCACACCCAGCTAATTTTTATATTTTTAGTAGAGACAGGGTTTCACCATCTTGGCCAGGCTGGTCTCAAACTCATGACCTCAGGTGATTCACGTGCCTTGGCTTTCCAGAATGCTGGGATTACAGGCGTGAGCCACCACGCCAGACCAGAAGTACATTTTAAAAGCAAGAAAATTATTGCAAAAGTCAGGATAGTGGTTACCTATTAGGGTTAGAGAGAGGGATATGATGGGAAGGGGCACACTGGGGCTTCTGGGATGCTAGCAATGATCTTTTGTAACAATGTTTACATGGGTATCTGCTTTATAATTATTAAACTGAATATTTGGCCAGGTGAGGTGGCTCATGTCTGCAATCGCAACATTTTGGGAGGCAGAGACAGGAGGATCACTTGAGCCAGGAGTTTGAGACCAGTCTAGGAACAGAGTGAGACCCTGTCTCAGAAATTAAATTAAATTAAATATAAAGAACATTGATGTCCTGTGCACTTTATGCACATTGTAGTTCTCAAATTTTTTTGATGGGGAAAAAGTCTGAATAGCTTCACTTGCAGCCCCGACATGGTTCCATGTGGGGCTTTCATAATAAGGTTTAGAGAAAGAGGAGGAAATGGAGGTTCTGCTGATCTTGGTGCCATCCAGAGGTGGATTCTCAAAGGGATTTTGTGATCTAGAGAGGAGGCATGAAATATACAATTTGGTGGGAAGAGTGGGTAGCAGTGTGCTTGTGTGTATGTGCTTGCATGTGTGTGTGTGTGTGTGTGTGTGTCTGTCTGTCTGTGATGGTGGAGAGAGATGGACACAAAAGGGAAAATGTAAGGAAAGGTTTGAATGAAAGCAGAGCAGATACCAGCATCTTGAAATGACCATGACCCAGCTTTCCCCCACATTCAGGACATAGTCCTGTGCGGCAAATAGTTGTACTTTGCATTTTAATCTAGAAATAACTTTTTCATTTTCCAGAATTCTCAATGAAAATTATTTGACTGAATTACATAAAGATTCATTTGAAGGCCTGCTATCCCTCCAGTATTTGTAAGTTAGTTAATCACATTTATGAGTTTTTAGTCATATTATCTGTAAAATGAATAAGGGGTTCAAATTAGATAATCTCTAAGATTTCTTCCAGCAATAAAATTCTGCAATTCTGTAAGTTTGTATAGGGTCTCAGCCCACCTCTAGCATTAGCTACCTCCTATGCATTTTCAGTTTTTAAATTATATAGACAAAATATAGCCAGAAAAAAATTTCACATGGTAATAAGATCTGAGCAGTGACTGACACCCATATGAACCTTGTTTTATAAGGGTTTACATACCATCTTCTTCTATTCAATCTGCAGTCAGTAGATCAAATGTAATCGAAAGTCTATTTTTCAATAACCCATTAAGTTAAGAATGATTTTTGCATTTTTAAAGGACTGAAAGAAAAAAGAAAGAGAAATATGCAAGAGACATCATATGTGGCCCACAAAGCCTAAAATATTTACTGTCTGTCCTTCACAAAAAAAGATTTGAAAAAGTTGGTTTAGTAGGATGAAAGGAATTAAAGTTAACTTCAGATTGTTGCCTAAAGGAGAAGAAAATATAGACCACCTACATTCATTGGAACATCATTAATCCAGAATTTTTTGGTAACTTAATTGGAATTAAATTAACATTTAAATATTAAAAATCAGCTGAATTATATAAATAATATTATCAAGAATATTGAGCTACCAAGAGAATAGACTGGTATTAAGGATTTCAGTTCAGGAATTGTTATATTAAAACAGATGTTTAAAATCATGGTAAAGTGGTAGAGCTAGAAATGTTTACATGAAGTAAGCATGTCAGAAATGCCCCTGACTCTTCACTAATTACGAAATAACTATCTCCCCAACCCTGTTACTAAGGGATACCTGCATAGTATTTCTGTCTGTTTAGAGACAAGAAGATACTATGTTCATTGCTATGAAAGCTTGATTCTTATCCTTTGTCCATAGAGGTGTGTATGTCATTAATCCTTATTAAGTTCATCAGTGATGCTCTTTTGAAAACAGATTCTTTCAAATGTAGAAGGCTTAAGGAAAGTGGGTGTAAAGACCCTCAAGTGGATGCCAAAGTGCTACAGAGACCATGAAGTAATAAAACTATGTTTCCTTTAAAATAGTCATTTTCCTTCTACTCACTCCCCTAGCCATTCATTCATTCATTCATTCATTTTTATTATTATTATTAATATTATTTTATTTATTTATTTTTTTTGAGATGGAGTCTCGCTCTGTCATCCAGCCTGGAGTGCAGTGGTGCAATTCGGCTCACTGCAAGCTCCACTTTCTGGGTTCACGCTATTCTCCTGCCTCAGCTTCCCAAGTAGCTGGTACTACAGGCGCATGCCGCCTCGCCTGGCTAATTTTTTGTATTTTTAGTACACTTGGGGTTTAGTACATTTGGGTTTCACTGTGTTAGCCAGGATGGTCTCCATCTCCTGACCTTATGATCTGCCCACCTCAGCCTCCCAAAGTGCTGGGATTACAGGCGTGAGCCACCGTGCTGGCCAGCTATTCATTTATTTTACAAATATTTGAATTTACTTTATTTCCATGTGTCAGTTTTAAACATGGTGTGCAATGCAGATGAGCAAAACCTAGTCCATGCTTTCAAGGAGCTCATGCTCAGAAAAAATGGGATGAAAAATAACTAAGAAGAAATGGATGTGGGCACTAGGAGGGATAAATTGTTTCTGAAGCATAGAAGAGGGGAAAATGACTTCAGTTTGGACCAAGGAAGATGTTACTAGAACAATGCCATTTGAATTGGACTTTGAAGGGCCATTGTGTAACATCGGACAGACATCTTGGGGACAGTATTCTAAACTTGCAAAAGGAAAATGGGAGAAGGGCAAAGCACAGGAAAGTGTTCGAGGAATACCATGAGTACCTGTAGAGTACAAGGAGGGAGAGTAGGAAATTGGAGCCAGATTTTCTAGGGCTTTGAATGCCCAGCTGAGGAGCCATCATGGGGAACCGTGTTACCGCAGCAGTGCTATAGATAGATCTGCATCACAATCCCTGAGAGGGCGCGTTAGAACTCAGTTCTGGACTCCGCCCTCGTGGTTACTGATTCAGTTGGTCTAGAGTGGGACCAAGAATTTGCGTCTTCAATAATTTCCCAGGAAATGCTGGTCTTTGCAAACCACTTGTGGAGAGTTTATCTGATGACTGTGTGCAGGATAGTTTAGGAAGGGAGAGACTAGATATGGAGACATCAGCCAGACAGCATTATTCCATCCAGGTAAAGAGGGAGGGAGGCCGGGCGCGGTGGCTCACGCCTGTAATCCCAGCACTTTGGGAGGCCAAGGCGGGTGGATCACGAAGTCAGGAGATCGAGACCATCGTGGCTAACACAGTGAAACCCCGTCTCTACTAAAAATGCAAAAAATTAGCCGGATGTGGCGGTGGGCGCCTGTAGTCCCAGCTACTTGGGAGGCTGAGGCAGGAGAATGGCGTGAACCTGGGAGGCAGAGCTTGCAGTGAGCCGAGATCGCGCCACTACACTCCAGCCTGGGCGACTGAGTGAGACTCCGTCTGGGAAAAAAAAAAAAGAGGGAGGGACAGGCCCCATCACTGTATAACTGACAAAATTGCTTTCATGAATTATTAAAGCAATATAAAACCAAAAATGAATTTCTATTAATATGATAGAAATTAATATGATTTGAATTAGTTCAAAGTTATGTATTAAGTAAAGGGGTAACTTCCTTTCAAATGATGTGAAAGGATGTCTTTTATTTCTTCTGATACTGAACTGGCTTAGGAAAACAGACCTAAACTAGGAAGGTGTATAAATGTGAGGCTATTCATTTTAATATTAGAAACTGTATATAGAGATAAAAACTTTGAGCTTATAGTCTAGGATTTGATGAGACGACAAAAGGGCATCTAATCAAGTCTACTGCTCTCAGGAAAAATTCATTCCAAAGTCTATTAAGTTGTATATTTTATTTATTAAAACTATGAAGATGAGACTCTAGGAGAGGTATGGGCAGGGTTAGGGGCTCTGGAAAGTTCAAATACAAGTCCAGACGTTTAGAGTTGAGATGAAAAATGTGTATTCAATGTTATTCTAAACTCTTGCTATTATTCCTACTAATCTACATCTGATAACTTACCAAGGCAATATTTTCGTTTTGTTTTTCCTAGAGATTTATCCTGCAATAAAATACACTCTATTGAAAGACGTACATTTGAACCACTACCATTTTTGCAGTTTATGTAAGTTACAAATATAACTTTATTACATTTGGAATTTTTATAAAACTTAATTATAAACCTCTTTACTATTCATTTTGAAATATGATTAAAATTTGACCAGTAGAAAGGTACTAAAATTATATAGCAAATTCTTTTTGTCTCTAGCAAGGATTCTTGTGAGAATTATTACACAGATCATAGTGAATCATCAGAGAGCAGTGGTTCTCAGCTGATGTGATTTTGTACTCAGGTGACATTTGGTAATGTCCAGAGACAGTTTTGGTTGACAAAACCGTGGGTGTGCTCCTGGCATCTGGTGGGCAGAGGTCAGAGATGCTGCTCAACATCCTCCAAAGTATAAGACTAAACATCCTCCAAAGTATAACACAGACCCCCATGGGAAAGTTATAGAGTCCAAAATGTTGATGGTACTGAAGTTGTGGAATCCTGTTCTAGAGAACTAAAGATCACTTCACACGAGTATTTACTGAGCATTCACTGTTTTGTAGCTAATGCACCACATGTGCAATGCTAAAGTATAAATCATAAGCCAGTATCTTCCACAGTGAGATTTTCTTAGTGCATACAGGAAGGATTGAGGTTATGTTCCATCCTATGTAAATTAGAATCACAGCAAATGATAAATGTTCTGAAATAATTTTTTTTTCCTTTGGCTTATGCCTTTTTTTGTAGAAATCTTGGTTGCAATTTACTCACAGAACTGAGCTTTGGAACATTTCAGGCCTGGCACGGAATGCAGTTTTTACACAAGTTGTAAGTGAAATAGAAGATGAATACAAGTAACCAACTATATTGTATAAAAACTCATACAATTATTGGTTAGCTGGGTATAAGCCCATTATGAACTCTGAAAAGTGTGTCTTAAGATCCATTTGTTTGTCTCAAATGGGGAAACTAAGGTACAAAGAGGCCTAGAGACTTACATAGTTTATATATGACTTGCTCTGCTTCTCCTAGTTCTGACCTATGGCATGGTCAAGAAAAGGCATCAAAGAAGTGACTCTCAAATTAGCCTTGTTGCTGGGCGGGGTGGCTCAGGCCTGTAATCCCAGAGCTTTGGGAGCCGAGGCGGGCGGATCACCTGAGGTCAGGAATTCAACACCAGCCTGGCCAACATAGTGAATCCCCATCCCTACTAAAAATACAAAAAAATTAGCTGGGCATAGTGGTGCAGTTTTTTGCTCCCTGGAGGGCTTTGTGTAAGCTTCCTTCCTTGCAGCTAAATGTTGCAGACATTTAAGCAGTTAGAAACTCTGCATATGAGCAGGAATCAAAGTTAAATCCAAAGTGTAGGGCCGGGTGTGGTGGCTTATGCCCTCCACCAGAGAACAGGCTCATTAGGTCCCTCCACCAAGAGTATTTAGGTAGCATCAATACAAATGGCTTAAACTCACCACCTTTACTAAGCACTTTATATACTGTGAGGCCCTCATAAGAATCTGGTGGCCGGGAGCGGTGACTGATGCCTGTAATTCCACCACTTCTGAAGGCTGAGGTGGGTGGATCACTTGAAGTCAAGAGTTCAAGACCAGCCTGACCATCATGGCGAAACCCCGTCTCTACTAAAAATGCAAAAATTAGCTGGGCATGGTGGCGGCCACATGTAATCCCAGTACTCAGGAGACTGAGGCAGGAGAATCACTTGAACCCAGGAGGTGGAGGTTGCAGTGAGCCAAGGTCATGCCATTGCACTTAAGCCTGGGTGACAGAGCAAGACTCTGGCAGAGATGGGATTTTACCATGTTGGTCAGGCTGGTCTGGAACTCCTGACCTCAGATGATCTGCCCACCTCGGCCTCCCAAAGTGCTGAGATTACAGGCATGAGCGACCAGGCCCAGACAATAAATGGAAACTTTAACTCAAAAGAAGGAAGGAAGGAAGGACGGGAGGAAAGGAGGGAGGGAAGGGAAGGAGGGAGGGAAATGAAGAAAGAGAAAGACAGAAAAAGAGAGAAAGAAAGAAAGAAAAGAAAAGTTTTTAAAACCGTAAGGTTAAAGTAAACCCTTTTTCTTCATACAGATTAAGCACATGAGTTCAGATTACAGATTTGCTTCTTAATAGCTTAGTGACCTAGGACAAGTTGTGTAACCTCTCTGTGCCTCAGTTTCCTCATTTATAAAATAGGGCAATAATAATATCTACCACCTAAGATTATTGTGAGGATGAAACGTGAAATGCTGATCACAAGTACGTAGCAGCCTAATAGATACTCACTGTAATAATTACTATTTTTATAATTTCTGCAAAAGTACAGTGATGATTCTTGGGTTAACCTAAAGGGTGATTTTCTTTTATTTCTTCCTGTTTCTTTTCTTTTTCTTGCTCACTTTAAAGAATTAAAAAGAAAATAGATTCCCGCATTTTGCAATAAAAATTCATATCAAAATGAATTTATTCATTTTATTGACATGTAAACAAAATGTCATTTGTTTATTCAATAAACATTTATTAAATCCGTAGTAAATTTCAGACATCATGCCAGGCACAGGGATGACAATGACAGTAAGATGCGGTCTCTGCCCACAAGGAGCTGATAGTCCAGGAGACTGACAATAGACAGGTGATTACATGCAATGTAACAAAGGCTGTGATGTCATACAAGAAGACAAGTGGGAGTATGTGATGGGAGTATGGTTTTGACCCGTTCCTTCTTTTAGATTTATCCCTTTTTCTTTGGCTATAAAGCAAAAGAATTGGTCCTGTTTTTTTTCCTTAACTGTGCAAATTAAACCATAAATTTGAAAAACTTTATAAAGATAAAAGGCAAGCAGTCAGGTACAGTGGCTCATGCCTGTAATCCTAACACATTGGTAGGCCGAGGAGGGTGGATCACCTGAGGTTAGGAGTTCAAGACCATTCTGTCCAACATGATGAAACCCCGTCTTTACTAAAAATACAAAAATTAGCTGAGTGTGGTGGTGGGCACATGTAATCCCAGCTACTCAGGAGGCTGAGGCAGGAGAATTGCTTGAACCCAGGAGGTGGAGGTTGCAGTGAGCCGAGATGGAGCCATTGCTGTCCAGCCTGGGCTACAGAGCAATACTCCATCTCAAAAAAAAAAAAAACAAAAAAAAATAAAGAGCAAGTTGAATTATGGACGAGCAACTTGAATTATGGAGGACACTAGAAATAGTATTTCCTACAGAGTCAGGGCTTCCTACCAACATAGTCACTTCTAGGGTTTTTGACCTGAAAAGTTCTGTGGCATATTTTTTCTTTGCTATCCACTTTTTGTGTGTGTGTGTGTTTTTTTTTTTTTCTATTTCTTCACCTCTTTCTCTCCTCTACTTTATCTTCCAGAGACCTAGGTAGTTCCCAAAGGAATAGTGCTTTACGAAGTCTAAGGGTGATTTATTAGGTAAAAACAGAATTTTTTTTTTTTTTTTTACCAATAAGTTCCATACCAAAATATGAATGTAAACTTTTTATGCAGTTTCACACATTGAAAATGCAGGCAATTTTAATTTCATTGCATTTTTCAGAATTCTCAATCGCAATCCTCTGACAGCTGTTGAAGATCCATATCTCTTTGAACTGCCAGCATTAAAATATTTGTAAGTACTATAGTACTCTCGAGTCATGAGATGATTTATGCTTTTTAAATTTGTCATCAAAGATTAAGTATTTTGCATTTAGGCTAAAATGTCGTAATTTAAATTTTAACTGAGTTATTGAAAAAAGTTATTGGCAAAGAAAAGGATTAAGAAAGGATGTGTAATGGTCAAGACAGCCAGCAGGGAAAGAGAACAGTGTTGAAGAGCCCGTATAGATTTGGAACATGTAGACACATGGAGGAATATTACTTAACCAAGAAAGCAAAGAGGAATAGGTGTTCGTTATTCTAAAAATGAAAAGAGTAAATAAAATAAGATGGTGAATGCAATATGAAAATGAGAAGATAATGGTAAAAAAAAAAGGTGTAAGTTCTACTCTTGAATATCATTAATTTGATGACGCAAATCAACTTAAATTTCTTTAATAAGAGCTCCCTGGAATTCAACAGCAAAGAAACTCTTGAAGTGGCTTGTTGTATAGAGAAGCCAAAATTGAAGTAATCACATGTCCTTGAAATACCTTTTTAAGTACAGAATTTTTTATTGGAGTTCATATCATGAATGTTTCGGCTTTCTTCTTCAGAGACGTGGGAACAACGCAAGTTTCACTTACAACACTTAAGAACATACTCACGATGACTGTTGAATTGGAAAAACTGTAAGTTATTTTTTTCTTAGATTTATATTTACTTAGTTGGTTTTTTAGGTTTGTTTTATTTTCTTAAGTCAGGTTTATTGAGATATAATTTTCACATAATATTCACCCTTTATAAGTGTATAGTGTATATACATTTGAAAATGTATAGTTACATAAGCACCACCACGTTCCCAGTACAAAGCATTTCTGTTACCTCAAAAAGGCCCCTCCTGTCCCTTTGTAGGCAATCCCCTCCTCCCACCATCAGCCCCCGGTAACTACTAATCTGATTTGTGTTCCTATACTTTTGCCTTTTTCAGAATGTCTTATAAATGAAATCAGGTAGCATGTAGCCTCTTGGGTTTGACTTCTTAAGATTAACCTTGAGAATTTATTCCAGTTACAGAGATTGTTTATATTTCTCTGAAACTGCCCCCAATAAGCCATAACAACAAATTAATCAATTGTCTTGGTTATCTCTTTTGCCCAAATTTACATTTTGAAAAAAATTCAAACATGCCAGAAAGATGAAAGAATAGTACAGAATCCAATTGAAGATCAGGCAGTGCATGTCATGTCTTTGTTTCCTTTCATCTAAAATATTCCTCTACTTTTTTTGATCTTTCATGACATTGGCATTTTTTGAGTCAAAGATAGTTGTCTTGTAAATTGTCCCACAATCTGGATTTGTCTGTTTTTGCATGAGATTCAAGTTAAGCATTTTTGGGAAGAATACTGCATAGGTGATGTATCCTTCCTGCCTCGTGACCGCAGGTGGCTCATAATGCTAAGTCTGATCACTTGTTTAAGATGATCTTCCAGATCTCTCCACTGTAGTTATTTTGCTGGGTGTGGTGGCTCACACTTGTAATCCCAGCACTTTGGAAGGCCGAGACAGGCAGATCACTTGAGTCCAGTTTTAGACCAGCCTGAACAACAAGGTGAAACCCTGTCTCTACTAAAAATAAAAAAAAATGAATAAAAATAAAAATTAAAAATTAATTAGCTGGGGTGGGCCTATAGTCCCATCTGCTTGGGGGGCTGAATTTGGAGGGTCAGTTGAGTCCAGGGGGGTCAAGGCTGCAGTGAGCTATGATTTTGCCACTGTACTTCAGCCTAGGTGACAGAATGAGACCTTGTCTCATAAAAAAATAAAAAATAATTTTTCCCTTTGGTAATTAATAAAAAATGTGTGGGGTGGTACTTTGAGATCAGTGAAGATCCTGTTCTCAGATGTCTTTTCACCCAAATGTGCATCAGTGATAATCCTTGTCTGAATCAATTTTTATTACATTGGTGGTTGCAAGGTGACACTTTAAAAAATTCTGTCATTCCTTCTACATTTATTAGCTAGCATTATTTCATTAAAGAACAACTCCTCCTCGTTTTTAATGTCAGTCTTCATGGATTTTTTATATATTATGTTGTAACTTATTGTTGTTACTCTTTTGAATCCTCAAATTGTGCAGATTTGGCCAATGCTATCTCCGTTATTTTTTTAACCCCATAATCCAGGTTAAACTGAGCTATTTTTAATGCCCAGAGTAATTTATAATATTTCTCACTCCCAACAGGAATTGAGAAAGGGCCTCCAGAAGTTGGGGGCTTATTCAGACTCTTCTTAGAAGTCTACCTTCTTCCTGTGTACGTTCAGCCCAAAGTGAGACTTTGGAGTTGGGAAGAAATACTTCTGAATTAAACTACTGATCAGTGTCACCCAATTCTAATCCCAACCACCTTTATTCTAGACATACCATACTCACTGCCATGCTTACCCTTTGGTTGGGCACCTCTGTCCTCCTTCCTATTGGCCTTCTAGTTCCTACCCAACTGTTCAGTACACAGGCCTCAATAACACCTTTTTGCCCAGCCCTGTGGTAGTGTTGGCCTGCCTCCTTTACCTTCTCAAGTAACTGCTTTACCACTAATTTATTGTTTTGTGTTTTCATCTGTAGGATCTTACCTAGCCATATGGCCTGCTGCCTCTGCCAATTTAAAAACAGCATTGAGGCTGTGTGCAAGACAGTCAAGCTGCATTGCAACAGTGCATGTCTGACAAACACCATACATTGTCGTGAGTCTAAATTGCCTGGTGATCGTTATATTATTTTAAGTATTTGTTTTTAAATTTTTTATTTTTAATTGATGATAAAAATTTAAGCTAATGATATAATTGATTTACTCATTCAGATTTAAAAGTCCCTCAACTTGTGAACTCCTCCCTTGCTGGGAGTTAGGTTCTCAGTTATTATTACAAAATTTAATAATGGAACTGTTCCCTATGCATAAAGGACCAAGAGAAAGGAATGGGAAGACTAGGGAATAACATTAACATGTACACACTGTGTACTGTGCTGTCTGCTTGATGCTTTGCCCCCAGTGATAATTTCTTCATATAGTGCAATGTACTGTGTAAGCTGGTTTTATATGCATGAGGTCTCAAGTACTCTGCATTTTAGGACAGATGTAGATCTGGTTTTGTTTTTGTTTATGCAATTTTATAAGAGTACAGGTGATGCTGTTTTATTTGAAGCCGGAGAGCTTCTGGTTCCATAACCAGAAATTGCTACCTGGCTCTTCTAATGAAATGGAGGGCTTTTCCATGCTTAGACCATCGAACGCTGAACTTGCTCTGAATTCAAACCTTTCCATTCACAGAACAAATACACAAGTGCTTCAAGAGTTTTTCTGTAGATTAGGTTTATTAGCACCAACTTCATGACTTCTAAAATGTGACTGCTTTCATGTACAGATAGCTTGAAAACTGGTATCTACCAGTAATATGGGGTGGATAATTAATAATGCTTGGCTACTTATATGAAGACAAT